ACAATTAGAACACCGGTGACATAAGAAACTTTAAACGTCGTTTTAAATTTCCTGGATTCTTTGTTTCCTTCATGGATTTTTCCAGGCCTATAAAAGGAGCACGAAACTCCTTCAATTGCTTCAAACGAGCAAAAAATTTCCTTGAGAAAATAAAGTTTGCTCATGGAAGTTCAAGGAAGTCGAAAGAAAAATTTTATTAGCTTCGAGAAGAAAGAAAAAATTATGATGAAATATTTATTCTACCAAAGATTTTGAAAAAATAACTAAAATGAAAATAAATTAATGTTTTACTAAAATATTAAAAATATTTAATCAATAAAACGAACCACTTGTGAGAGATTCAAAATTCTCCAAAGGAAAATTTTAAAAAATTGTAATTGTAATCGTAATTAATTTTCAAATCCACTGAACAGAAAATTGCATCCGAACTTCAATGAACAAAAAAGGTAAAACATCAGGTAATTTTTAAATAAAGTACATTCCTTTGTTGGAAAGAAAACAGCAGAAGTTTCCAACAGTGAAATAAATTTCTAAGAGGATTGAAACTCTATCATTTGATTATCGAGTTTTCCCGGTGAACGTGAAAATTAGGTCTTCCATCAAAAATCCACAAGCCGTCAGTACGAGTTTTCTGATTGAAGCGAATAACTGACGAGTGAAATGGATCAAGCGTTTCTTCTTCGACAATGGGATAAAGTTGAGCCGAAATAGAACTGCATCTTCCTTTTCGTGGATATAAAATATCAAAGTAGAGCCAATACCGCGAAATTGATCAATTCCTTTCCTCGAATGATTGTCAATTACTTCATTCTTACATTACTGATCAATTACTGATCAAATACTAAACTCTATTATCAGTAAGGATATTAAAATAACACTGGTATTAAAGTAAATTTGACAAAAATAAATATACGGAAAATTAATTTGAAATTGAAAAAAATATTTTGGAAGGTTATAGGGGTGTGCGGGTACCCGAAAATTCGATCCAGGGTTCGAAATAATGAAGTAATTAATCAAAGAAAATAACAAACTCTGAAACTTAAATTTGAAAATAAACTCATATTATTATTATTAAAAACCATGACAGAAGTCAATGAGAAATTTTTCAGCAATTTCCATCTCCTCCCACCGACATAATATCCCTTCATTTTTTTTTCAGGATGAAACTTTTTTCAATCGCCTTCCGTTTAATAATTTCTTTACTATTCCGCCACTCTCTCGTCCCGTCCTTCCATTAACCCACCGCGTATTGACTTAATTAATCGATTTCATGGAATCCATCGGTCGCCATGGTCGGGTTGATTTTCTCTCCACGGGCGGATGAGTCTCTAACGATGCCTGGCATGGAAATAAAATTGTCAAGTTGGAAGGACAGTATCAAATTCCCCGGGGAATAAAGTCTTCTCGAGTTTCTCCGACAGAAATCTTGTGCGTGCAAGATGGTTCTGTTACATAGCGAGTTTCAGGATGGGCATGGGCAACTTGTGCCCACTGGGGAAGAAGTCATTGACCGCCGACATTAACCTTCGATAAATCTAATTTTTTTTTTTTAAGTTCCAGAAGAGAAAATGAAAGAGTAATTACTTTTAGAGGTGTTTGAAAGTCCAAATCTACTTTAACTTGCCCTGAGAGCATCCAGTTGCCCAGGACTTGAATGAAACTATCTGTGAAACGTCGAAAGAGGACACCTGAAGACTCCGATAAGACTTCCTGGAGGAAAAGGACCGATAGGCGTTCTCGATTGATTACACGAACGATTCTCGAGGAAGACATTCGAGCGAACGACCGATACGTGACACTTTGACGTTCACATGAGAACGAAGCTTCATTCTGTCCGTTCGATCGGTCCATTCCCATTCTCTCGCGGATATCGATTCGTCTACAATACTACAGTTACATTCCACCCTCGACATTCTACCTTACACCTTTGTCAAGGAACAGGCAATTTATAAATAGCAATAAAATTCCATTTTAACGCGTCACGGTTATGAGTTACGCCAAGTGAAACGTTAAAAATCTATTCTGGTAACAGGTTATACAATTGTGTATTTCTTGCGAAATCCTACATAAATTCTCGTCATTAATTTCGCCGACGTTAATCTACGCTTTGGTATTAGCATAGCCGAGTCGTTTCTCAATCTTAAAATTACTTTTTTCCTCAAATGAAGCGCGAGAATGATTAAATTTTTGGATATTAAGTCGTTTGAAAGATCGCATTTCAAGAATTCGCTCGACTTTTCGCTAAAGGTCTTAAAATCTCCGGCAAAAAATAATATTTCTGAATTTCCCCGAATTCTATTAACAATTCTAACATTTCTCGGTAATAGTACGAAAGCAAATGGATGGCGTTAAAATATTTGTCGAAATTCCGGCCGTTTCCCGAAGTCACACCAGGGGTGATATTTGCACGGGATCAAGGGATATGCGGGCAGATAAATCACGAAGGAAGTTCACGCCACTCTTTCTCTCTTTCATTCCCTGGCATGACGACGCGTTTCTACTAGGCACCCATTATTAAGACGCTGGTCGCCCCGACGCTTCAACCATTCCTTACTTCCCGTTTCATGCCTGTTCTCGCGTGCACAAGGATCGCAAATAAAGAAGTTATCCCTCAGGCGATTTATTCGCTCAACGAAAGAGAAAAGAGATTTCTTGCAAGTTGTTACGCCCATCGGCGAAAAATCAGCGTTAATCCTTCTTTCTGGTTTTTCCTTTATTTTTAAAAATACTGCCTGAGAGCGACCGTTGAAAAAGGGAACACAAAGAGGAGCGATTCGTAGCTGTAAACGCGAGAGGAAAAGCTGTATTACAAGCTGAAGCCCGCTTTCCACGAAAGCGGTCGCTCTTCAGTGAGCGGCGAGCATCAAAAGCCCTTTTGAAAATCTTATAGCCTCTCTACGTTAAAACTTCTTTGGTCTTACCGGATATCCGGGATGTAGTCGAGCGAAAATCTAATGTAACGAATGATATTAAAGCGAAACATGATCAATTTGATTAAACATTCAAAGCTTTAAAATAGCTAAGCTCACTTTTTTTATCATCGCGGATCCAATGTTGATATTTATTTATTTATTATAAAATTCTTTCTGAGAGATTTAGAAGCTAAATTAATAATAAAAACGAAAAATTACAGTATATGTATCCAAGTAAATTGTAGATAAGAAATAACTTTATAATTTTTCATAAAATTACTGTTCTGAGATTTTGATATATTTTATTGTGTCGTCGTTGTGATGTCTCATTTAATGTTCGTGATAATGCATCGTTAATTAATTACAATAATGTAATTCTATAGGCAATTAAGAGCAGGCAAACAGGATGATAAATATCAATATTGATTTGCAGTGGAATCAGTATTCCATTGTTTCTGTATCATAAATTGGAAATAATAACAGAATTATTATTATATAAAAAATAATATTAAATGCACAAAAGTAAATAAAACAAAAGTGAAAATAAATGAAAGCAAATATTTTTCTGAATTTACCAAACTGCTCTCCATAAATATATTATAAAACATAAAATGAATATTATATTCTATAAAATTTCTTAATTAAGTATAGAAAATAATAGTTTGTAGGAAAGAGGCAATATAGATAGACAGTATTAACAGTGTTTTACGAGTTATTATACGGTATTAGGAGTTCTCTGTGATAAAGTAAAAACTTGCAGGAACTTCGGCTCTGATGTACTTGAACCTCGTAAAAGATCCCGTAAAAGCTTTGCCTTCTATTGCTCATATTTTCTCCAGTCAACAACACGACAGAATCTACCCTTTTTTCAAAACAAAAACAATCGCTATTGTATATAATCGACAAATGTATTTACATACTCTACGCCGATGATCTATGATTTATTTCTATTCAAAATAAAATTTGATAAATTGAAAAATATCAAATTTCTAAAATGTGCTGTGAACTTTTTCTCAATTTTATAAATACAATTATTAAATAAAATTAATAGCGGCAAAATTTTATTTGAACGATATGAATTTCAATGACTGTTCCTTGAAATTTAATTCACGATTTTATTTTCGTTCTATTTGACGATAAAACGTTTCCCGTATCGTTCTCGCTTATTACTATAATTACGTTATTTTATTTGTTGGGTCAATATTTATCATGGACCAATAAATTACCCGCGAATTCTATGTTTCTAACGTTATTTACCTTCCAACTCGTTGCTGCTTTGTAGAAACGCGTTTAGCCTTCCTATAGAGATTACTTACCGAATAAATAAAACTATTGTTCGATTTTGTTAAATATATGTATCATTAAGTACGCTTTTTACGAGTAAAGGTGAGAATATTCACATAAATTAGATTAAATGTTAAATGAAATATACATGGAATATTAATTAAATATTCGAGCACCATATAGCATGTATGAATTTACAATCTTATTATAAATGAATATTAGTATTTAATCGCCATAATCTGAATAAAATTTCTATAATTGCAATTTAGTTATTTAACTTGTTTCCTTTAATAAATTATGATACAAAAATATTCTACATTCTACATTATGAAATAAATACTTGTAAATAACTCAACTTGGGTCTAAACTTCATATAATATTTCAAATATTATTTAAACTTTCATTTTATATCATAAAACACATATTTGTAATAGTAGATAAATTCTATCTATACTAAATACCTTAAGTCCTAATTTAAATCCATTACTATTAACATAGAATATATTAGACCCTAATAATTTATTTTTCCTTGAAATACAATTTGACGTAATTGTTGAATAAATTCAGTGAAATTTTATTGGTTTCAGAATATTTTCTTGACAAAAGAGCCACTACGTCAGTTAAGGGTTAAACAAAATGAAATTGTATCAAAGGAGATAAACGTTCAACTTTATTCCCCCAATTTATTAGCATGAAAAAGCATCTATGGTGGTCGAATATAAGCGGGTAGGTCGGAAACAAAGAGCTACTTATCGAACGACCTTGATGTTGCCAACGGTTAAAAAAGAAATATAAAGCACTTACCTTGATGGTGAACTGCCTGCATTGTGGCTTGTACGCGTTCGTTCCACAAACAAGAAATCGATCAGGTCCTTGTCTGCCAAATACTCGTACGTAATTCTGACACTGGTCCTCGCTACGTCCTTTCAGATAACAAAGTTCACGATGCGCCCTGCTGCTGGACCACTGCAACCTCTGTAACAAACAAGATGAAACAATAGTTACTTTGAAATCTAATTTCCAATAACACTGCGACGCCAACGTGGGACACTCGTGAATTCGAAACGAAATTACATGTGTTAAAAAGAGTGACATTTACTTTGGTTATGTTTCCAAATTCTCATGACACCGTTCGGCGTCCGACGGGTTTTTAGACAAAACACTCAGTTATCGGTTAAAATTAATACTGTTTACGATGCTACGGGTTAATATGTGTATAATGAAACTAAAATTAACAATTTGGATACACTTTGTAGCCAATTTTATATATTTAATAGCGGAATTAGCATCCACCGATCTCACTGTGTCAAGAGCCAGACGCCATATTGAAAAATCGTGGCGGGAAGGTAAGCAGTCAAATAAGAAATTATAAAAATATACAATACTTCATAAAACAAAGAAAAAAGTGCTAACAATGATAAAGATATTAATAAATTAAATTATAAAATATTATACAAACAATATTTATGTATACTTCCTTTATTTAGTTTCTGATTTGAATATAAGCGCGTCATATGGCGCGAATATCACTTGATTTGGATTATAAATTTATAATTTACAAATTTACTGTGGTCATACAAAGCCATATAAATTATTAATTGATTTAAATAAATGATCAAATTACGTTATAGGTCTGCGCGGTATGAAGGTTCACGAGAGACTAATACAAGCAAAGCCTACTGAAATCTCGACGGCCGGCCCATCAATGTTTTGATTTCGAACGCTACGAAACGTAAACATACATTACTATTCGTAGACTCTGGATTTGTTTTCATATATAATGTTTCAACTAACATTTGCAAAGATAAAATCTATCGTTAAATATATTTATTTAAATAATATTTTATGGTTTACTATTTTGTATTGTATTAATTTATAATTTATATTTTATTTTTTATCAATATTTTACAATATTTTCAAGGCAAAACATGGTTTAAATATGAAAAATAATTTTAAACAAAAAATACTACACTCTTACAATTTTTTAAATTTCTTTTTACTAATATATTATTTATTCAAACTTCTATCTATGAATCTCTTTTACCTCGAAGGACAAACTTGTTAAAAATAAATAGATATCCAGAACGTGATACGCTTGAGCTTATTTAAAAAAGATATTGATGTGATTCTGCATACGAGAGGCACGCTAATTTTCGATCTGCATGCGCATGTTCTCATTATTTTCCGAAATGAGATTACTTCCATGTCATGTCATTCTTTACCTTCAGGCGCATCAAATAATCTTCCGCAAACCCACCAAGAAATATTCTATGAAACGAACGTTTGAAATATAAAAACTAAACGTAATTCATGAATATTTAACATCGTTTTAAAATTACCAATCACAAGTTTTAATCTCATAACGGTGGAAATTATTTTACAAAGAATCTCGAATCAGCCACGAGATTCGTTCAGCGAGATATGCAAAATCAATTCGGAATTTTAATCGCGAAATTTTCATCGGATTGCACGATATTTCGCAACACCCAGTATACTTGCGGTGGTTCAAAAATCAAACGTCGCTCACCCTGACTGGAAATTCTGGATTTCCTTGCACGAACTAACAATCGCTCGAGGCAAACGTGGAAAGAAACAAGGAGAAAGGAGGAGTAGAGGGTGGAGGGGCTGCGACAGGAACTGCAGCTGCATGTCGAGAAGAAATCCTTGAACAACCCTTTCAGTCTACAACTATACCACTATGAGAACTTTTAATATCTCATAAAAAGATTCCATAATTCCACACTCGACTCCCGTTTCCGCGGTTCTACAAATCTGCGATACGAGTTAAACGCGATTTCAATTAGCGACTTTTTTTTTTTTAAATCTGACACTGCGAATACGGAGGTTCGATCGTATTCAGAATTTTCGCAGCAGCAAACTAGCATAAATTTTGAAGTGTGATTTAGAAACCATGTGGCGATGGTTTTTGCTCTAATTAGAACATGTCTGGAGATCTCGGTGGCCGTTTCTGTCGCCGTTTACCATAGCGTAGAGTTACAAGCGGTCCCGAGAAACTTTCGACCGCAAAATCGTGCTGCATATTCATCGGGTAATACGATTTCACAGTTTCGAGCCTCTCGCAGGCAGATTTTAGTCGTCGCCGTATAAATTCGGCCCGGGACATTACTCTAATCCCTGCCATGGAACGGCGAAACTTTTTTTCTAGGACATCGCATACATTCAGACTTTACTTTGACGAGGAAACTCGCGAGAGGATCACACGATACGCTTTCGCATTTGAAAGGGTAACGATCCTCCGGCTATCGAAAAAGTTAGCCCTTCTGTTTGGATTTCTACCCGCCAGAAGGAACACTTCCGCTTCGACTTTTTTCGATGATTGCGGGAAAGAGGGATGGGTTCTTGGGAGAACTGAATTTCATGACAGAACGATGCTTGTCATAGGTTAAATTAAAGCTTAAAATTTCCTCGAAATTACAGTATAAGCGCCCGTTGAATATTCAAAGTAATAGCTAAGTTAGAAATTATAGAAGAAGACCATTAGATATTCTTGTATGTTGAAAAGTAAAAATTCTAGTAAAGATTGATGACATAGAAATATTTCAAAATACTAATTATTATACCTAAAATTAAAGCTTAATTTCTCTTAACCACGGCTATAATAACCCTTCATTAATATTCCAACCGCAACTCCAATAAAACTAATTCAAATCTTCCATCCAATTGAACATTCTAAGCACTGCCCACCATGAAAACGTCACTAAAGGTACTCGAAGACCATAGTAAAAGGATTTCAGCCACGACGTTAATTCACATTTGTCACGGTTTTAATCACGCCCGGGCTCTCTCGCGATTAACGAATCCACGTAGCGTACCATTCAAACCAAACGTCCATCTAGGAGACGGAAAATTAAATTTTTAATTACTCCGTTCACGGTTGATCTTCGTGGAGAGTATCCTTGGTAAATATTTTTCCGCGGTATATAAACAAGCACGGATCCTTTCAATTTCGCCGGTGAACAAGTGGATTAAACCATAAGCGTTTAATACTGGGTCACGTTCGCGTGATACACGAATTACCACTTAATCAAGCACGTACGTTTACAAATTCTCGAGTATTTCTTTGGAAAAAAATTACATTTTCCTTTGCACCGTTACGTGATAACGTTCGCTGAAACCATTACGTATTCGCAATGCAAAACACCGTAACTGAAATGAACAAAGATACCCGCGGTTCGCCGCATTGGCTTCCTCGTCACGAGGTTCATGGAAAGCGATCTGCATTTTTCAATTTTCCATCGGTCGATACACCTCTCTGCAACGAAAATAAATTCACCGGGAAAACGTGAAATACACCGTTCCCGGTTCCCATCCAGAAATACCTATTCCATCAAATAATCTTTCGTTGCAAGTAATCAGAATGAAGAAATTTTCTTTCTCAGCAACAAACTTTCCAACGGTGTGTGCGAGATTCATTTTTCTTGTTTAAATACTAAATAGGATAGGACGAAGAGGATACGGTTGTTTAAGGTAAACACGCAACGAAGCTGGCGTAAATAGCACAGGCAACAACGTTTCAAATGTTTTAGCCCGTTTCGAGTGCACTTTGAAGTGACGGTCCGAGTGCTCCTCCACTTCAGACTCGTTACTTCGCAATGCAACTCTTGGCAACACGCGAGATACGGGCACAGACGACCCGGCGTCGCAACGTATTCTTTGTCTTTGTGCGCGTTCACTAACACCGGTGCGGTCGACGCCTTCTAACAAACGAAGACACACTAGGAGCTTCGGAGCGTTTCTATAGAAATTTTCAGCAAATCTTAAGCTTTAATTTAATGTACTACAGACGCCATATTGAAATACTTTTCTGTCATGAAAATAACTTTGAACTTTTACATATATGCCGAAACTGGGTATTTGATGAAGTACAGTAACAGTGTTCGTTGCGATCCACAACTCCTCGTCTTGTAATAAGAATGTTCAAGGGGTATTTATATGATTCTTTTAAGGAACTTTTAAGCTTTAATTTGAAGTGTCGTAAATGGTATTTGGTAATACTTTTCTGTCATGAACTTACATTAGACTTTTCACCTTTCCAATTTAGAAATTTGGAATCTAAGAATTTGATAGTCCTCTTCTTTTAATTATTACTTGACTCGAATAAAAGACATCCAAAAAACGTTTATGCAGTAATTTTCCTTATACTTTAAGCTTTAACTTGATATACTGCAGGTGCTATTCCGCAATACTTTTATGTCATGAAACCGTCATAGAATCAACTTTCTCCGTCTCTAATTTTCCAGGTCCTTACCCAGTCACCTTTACCGCCCGCGAAGCGTTAATAATCCAGTTTCCTAAGAAAAAGAATTGTTAAACTGCTCCTAGGGAATTATCATTCTCTTATATAAACTCACTGTTTACTTTCACATTCTTTTATCATTGCAATGATACTCGACCTTCTGATAACTGCCAATCATTTGCACGCACGTTTCTATTTTAATTTATCGGCCTATATAATTACATGCACGTATATCTTGTCCGGTTGTTCCCGGAAATAAGTCACTCGAACCAGAAGGGCGTCGCGACGGTAGCCGCGTATCAGTCGCGTGCCGTCCACCTATTTCCGGCGTACGAGAGACGGGTTGGGGTCAAAATTAATCTATTTATCAGCACTCCTCCCTACTCCACTTATTATTATTTAAAAAATAATCGTGAAAAATTAGTATTCGAATTTCCGGATACTCGCACAACCCTGTTAAAGGTCCATCATCGCACCCCCATGGAAACTCTTTCATCCCCCTAATGCATGGAACTTAAATCTTCAGACAAACACGTTAAAAATCGACGTTAATGTTCTTTTACAAAGGGGGCTGAAAAGAGCGACAAACGCGAGTACATCTCTGAGAGTCGAAAACCCACATCCAACAACGTTTGCTCGAACAGTTCTTTCAACCCTTTCTCCCCACGGAGGGTGTATTATCTACCCTTCCGATAGACGCAGAGGCGCCTTTAGCGAG